TTAATTACCTACCACTTTTAATCTTAACGCGTATCCACGACTCATGGAAAATATCGCCACGTGTCTTCGGGGCTTTGAGATATTTTTCTATTTTTCTTTTAACAAAAAAAAAAAAATATACAAAATGACGGCTGCGGACATGGGCTGTTTATTACGCTCGTATTCGGTCCACGAGTTCACTGTACTTCTTTTTTTATTTTGACACTTCGCAACCAAAGCAATTCTTAGTAAATCACACGTGGTTTTCCATAAAACAACGCAATCATATTCCGATAGAAAAGTAAAGTATATTTAGCGGAAAACCATGCGCATGCGTACTTCGTAAGGAACGTTTTATGTAAGACCTCAGACTTCGTTGTTCTCGAACTGTCAGAAAAGCACACGAATAATCCAGAACCGATTTTAACGTAACAATATATATGAGATTTGTCTTTTATTTATTTACCTTTTTATCCTGTAATAACGCTTGAGTCACTTGTACGGACATTTGCGCGATTCCTAAAGTCACTGGGTCCTTTTACTGTTATTACGGAGGGTCGAATGGGGCTGGATGGGACTGACTACCGAATAACAGTTAGCCGATGTTTAAAGAGTGTGTAATAGCGATGATAAATAAGCGGCGTCGGGTCATTGTCCACGCGTAAAAGAGATTTACGTTAAACGAGGCGTGAGAGGCACCGGACGGACTCGTGTTATGTGTACGCGCATATGCATATTACACATAAGCTCCAAGTATAATCGTAACGAACGAGACGAGAGGGCGAAACGGTATATATTATATGGACGAATGTTTAATGCACGTTCGATCGAACTGGCTACGCAGAGAGGCAGGCGCCGAATTAATATTAATAAACAGGACCGACCGGTATAATCCAGTAAAAATTGATTTCTCTATCGATTTACAAGGAAGGTCAACGGGGCGCCTGAAGTTCCATGACGTCCCTGCACTCTTCGTATTGTTCTGCATTGCACGATGCACTAGCTGAGTCACTCTTGTGATGCACTGTACCGTCCTACCTCACCCTCCCGATACTCTCCCCCCTCCCCTCCTCTCACTCTTTCATCCTATCTTTACCATCCATCTTGACCATTCGTAACATTATGACGTTCGATGACGTCAAGCGCAGGGCGAACGGGCAAATTCCAAAAAAAGAAAATTGGGATAAATATTTTTCTTTAGTTTTTTTATTATTTTTGTTTTCGTTCAAATACTGTTTTCATCGTTCCTTCTATCCGGTGCACTTTCTACATCGCTAATACGCCTCTTGCTCTCGTGTATGCGAAATTCTACTTTGGCCTTCGGATTCACTTGTCAGGATCATAATTTGCAATGGTCGTGTATCTCCTTTCACGGTCAGACCTTTAGACCGTTCTTATGCATCTTGCACATGCGTAACCTCACTTAGGTATGTCGATACGACGAACACGACGCTTTACGATTGTCAGGTTTTTCACACGAATGATTCCTCCAGTTTGTTTATTCCGATATCATTATCGAGGCTAAACAGCGAGTCATCGTTTCTCGTATACCGATGAACAATCGATCCTCGGATATACTTTTGCTGCTCTTCCTAGATAGCGAGCTATTCGATATTTGTGATCAATTCGCGCTTACTGATCTAGATCAATATACCGCTGTTACATGTACATATATCAGCGTTATATCAGCAATTATATCAAGAAATTCTACATCGTAGAATCTATAGATGCTGTTGTAAGGTGGTAACGTCACGTTCGATGACGTCACAGTTAACCATTTAAATTATCCCACGTTGCCTGTACGCTAATTGATTATGCCACATGTAATTATCTAATAATATTAGCCAGGGTCTCTCAACCCGAGGATCCACATTCACTTTAAACCACGTATAAACACACACCCTTGTGGAATATATTACTCGATATACGCATGTATATTTTAAAATAATAACGATTGATGATTCGTCAACGGGTTATATCGTATCGCCACCCGTTCACCTTGTAACACGGTTTCCGCTATCCTTCCCGGAAGATAGTCAATCCCAATGTTCTAAGGATCGAATTCCGATTATCAATAAGAACTCCGGCACTCGTATAGTTTTCAATTCCAGTAAACTTTCCCGCGCCGACTTCTTCTCGCTCGTTGACTCTGATCCCAGGAATATCAACCGTATCTCAATTCATACGCTGCTCGTACATTTTCATCCGTCACGCTGATTCATATGACCGGAAAACATTATGCCTATACGTATGGAGTATACTTCATCGCGTGATTATCCTCATATGCGTTCTCGCCTGTCATGGCTGACAACGTCCTATGGACCAGCTAAGGTGGTCATCACGTATATGTAACGTGGGCCAATTAACCGTCGTAATTTTTTTGGGTCTTATCTTCGAAGTTTCTCTTGTTTTCGTAATCCTCGAAAAGTGGGATCTACTGTCATTGAACAATTTCAAGCGCCTGTTTACAATATCTCGATAATGATGACGATGATGATAATAATAATAACAACAATGAATAATAAATAATAAATACTCATGTCGTCACAACATTCCCGAGGCAAATGATTAATTAATTACGAGACATGTACTCGGACGCCAACGTTCTCCCGTAATCTCATCTGACCCTAGGACCACTCCCCTGTCCCTCCCCCTCCCCCCCTACC